CTGTAAAATCAGAGGCCTCATACTGGGGTATCAAATGAGAGAGCATTTCGGAAGACTCGGGCATGGAGTTAAGGAGAAAGAAGGGTGTGAAAAAAATAAATGTAATGGGAACAAAGAGGGTTTTGTGTTCTTCTAGGGTGTAGGTTTTTTTTTCTTTTTTTTTTTTTTTTCCTGTATAAGTCATTTTTTTAAATGTGGAGATAACTTTACAGATATGACCTACGTCTAAAATATTTCAAAGAAATAACATTTTTTCATCTAAAATGACATATTTAAAGAATTATTATTTTATTAATTATATGCAATAACAAGTCTGTGTTGAAAGTTCTCCAGTTGCTTCAAAAATATCCTTCAGACCTTTTTCTCAGTGTAGGATGGTGACTTCCATCTGGCTGTTAGATCTCTTAAGTCCTTTTTGATTTCTAACACCTCAAGCGATGGGGCACTTGTCCTGTAGGAAGGTGCTTCTTGGTCTTTGATGTGTGAACAGATCACTTGGCAATCTTGTTAGGATGCTGGTTTGGATTCATTGGCTTTAGGATGGAACCCTCAGCTTTGGTGTGCCTAACAAGTAGTCAGGTAATGCCAGTGCTGCTGGATCACACTGAGTCAAGAGGCTCTAAAGAGTCCCACCTTTTAGATTTGTTTATTTTCTCCTTGTGTCCTTTAGCTAAAATTTGTTTACACTGGGAATTAGATCTCTAGGTTTGATTAGATTTAAGTTAATCATTTTGGGCTGATAGCATACATTACAGCTGATAAGTGCTTCTTCTGCATCACATCAAGAACACAGTATCTGATTGCCCCATTCTTAGTGGTGCTAAATTGAGCCCTAGATGATCTTTCCTTATAACCAGGAGAGGGTGGGTTTTTCCTTTTGCAACCTAGAAGTTATCTGTGTGGTATGACTTTTGCATCACAGAGCTGTCTCGTTCTCTAACCTGTTCACCAGTTGATAATCCTTGCATGAATCATTAGTGTGTCAGAAGTTGGCATAGATGATTTTCAATTGTAATTTCTTCTAATTTTACTAATTGCCATTTTTTTGTAAAGTAGAGCTTTCTCTCAATGAGGACTCTTTGGTATTACCTAAATGACAGTTCCTACTTGAAAGGCAGGATACATACTTAATTTTTCATTTACCAATTTTCAAAGAAAAGAGTTAGTTTAAAAGCCATCTAAACGGCAACATGAGTTTTTTATTTTCTTTCTTTCTTTCTTTTTTTTTTGATTATCACATATAAACTTGGATTTTCATAGAATCAGTGTTTCAGGCATCCATATTCTTATGCTCAAATTTGTTATGCTTTTGGCTAATGGGAGCCCTTTTGAACTGCCTCCAATCTTATTCCTTTGATCTTTGAATGTTCTTTTTACTTGCTGGCTCAGCAGGATAAAACTTATTTTATACCTTCTCTGCCCTAGACATGGAGCTGTGTCTCTAATACCCCTGAATGATACTAGAAACTAAAATCTAGACTTTAAGGATCTCATTTATCATTTATTCTGGGCCCGTTATTTTTAGGCCCTTTTTGTGAACTGAGCTAGAAAATACATATTTTTTTAAATCATGAAATCATATTGATCTTTTCAATTCAATTTTCACAGAATTTTTTCTTAATTTTATGTGCTTGTATTTTTTTCCTCTTATATTTGAATGCTTAGATCAGTGGTTCTCAAACTTCAATGTTCATCAGAATCATGTGGAGGGCTTGTTAAACACAGATTGCTAGGTCCCCAACCCTGGGGATTCCGGTTGAGTAGGTCTGGGGTAATACCCAAGAATTTGTGTATATAAGTTCTCAAGTGATCTTGATGCTGCTGGGCCAGACCACACTTTTGAGAACCACTGTCGTAGTAGATGTTTTTCTTAGAGTGAAGGGGTTAAGCCAAATTGCAGGTGATTTTAAAAAAAACAGCTGTTTTAGAGATAGGGCATGTATATTGTATACTTGAGGACAGAACAGAGAAAAGCAAAAGAGATTGGGAAGATCATGGAGCAGGGAGTGTGTATGGAAGCAGAACGTGCTCCAAACTCTGAGGACTTAGCTTTGCAGAGGGCAGTCTGGTGACTAGAGTGTTGAAGAGTGTTTGCATTTCAGGTTAGGGTGCTTCACTTCCCTGAAGTTTTTTTTTAACTATAAAGTGACAGGTTAGCTGATTTTAATAGAAAATTATGGGATTTTTGCTTAATACTAATGTTTTAAATGTGTACATAAGGAAGCCTTAACCAGAATTATAAGAATGAAGACTTTTATGTAATTTGACTTTGTTGTTAACTCAGGGATCAGTTAGAAAACTTGTGACTTAAATCTCATTTTTTAAGAAAAATTCCATCTGGAAGTTATTCCTAGTGAGATAGGAAATTAGACTCATTATGCAGTCTGAGAAAGAGAAGGGAGGCTGGTTTAAGTTTCTGCTAACATTTTGCCTTTGTCTTAAAAATGAAAAATTGCAGTAAGTTACAATTTTACTGTAATTAATTAGGTGTGCTTTTTTTTTTTTTTTTTAACATTTTTAAAAATGGGCAGTGCAGGCATTTTCAGGTCCACCCTGTTTATTCAACATCATTAGGGAATGATGTGGGATTTTTTTCACTTGTAATTTTTTTTATATCTAGTTTGTTTCCCTCTTAAAGGCTAAAATATTTTGACCCTAAATAATTTGTTGGAGTTTAATAAAAACAAAAACAAAAATGTGTGTGTGTGTGTGTGTGTGTGTGTGTGTGTGTGTGTGTGTGTGTGTGTGTGAGGTTTTCTGAAGCAGAGGGGGAGTTGGTAAGTGGGAGATTCTTTGATGGCTGAAAAACGTCATGATACACATCAGTGCTTGCTCTTTGCTGAAATAAAACACTTCTTTCTGGGCTATTAAGGTATTTGGAGCCATTTTCCCAAAAACTGAATGACTTTATATGCTAGTTTATTCTGTTTCTCATTTGTCTGCTTCTTAACTTTGATGTGCTAGACACTAGGTAGATGATCAAGGCTTTTAGAGTCATTTTTAAGGTAAGCTGAATTGGCTGCCTTACTGATAGAGTCTAATTCATGTGTTGAAACAGGCATTGCAGCTCCTCTGAGGTCCTTTTTCATGTATTCCCATAAATAAAACCCTGTTGCAGATGGTTGTAGGAGTGAATAATCACCACTTCACATCTGCGTGTTAAAAGTAATGTTCACACAGGTGTTTGTTAGATTCTAAAGTACTTTTTGAATTTTCAAAGATTATATTCAGCATATTGCTTATTTAAAAAGTTATTTTGAAATTGTTGAACTGCATAAGGGCAGTAGTTTCACGCTTAAGCTTTTTGAAAATCTGAAAATGTGTAGCTTTCTTCAGGTGAAAAATGCATCTACACTCAAAACTAAGTTTAAGGCAAGTTGAACAGTCTCAGGCCCGTCCATTACTAACCTGTTCAATAAAGTATTGAGGGCAATTTTCATGTGATTCGTAGACTCAGTCTGAATAGTTCAGTCCTTAACTCATAAGCAGATAACACATAAGCAGAGTTTTTAATCTTTGAATATTCTTGATATACATTTACTCTAGATTTTAAAAACAATGGGTATGATGATCTAGTGATTTGTGGGGGGATGATCTTTCAGGCAGATTTTTTTTTTTTTTTTCCATTTCATGAAATGCTTATAAATGACCGCCATACTTTGAAAATATTTTTTCCAGCCCTTTTAACTGGAATATATGATTTTTATTTGTAACTTATTTCACAATGAGCTTATCTTCTTGATATGTAAAGTGCCCCTAGAAAATAAGAAAAAGACACTGATGGTCAGAGAGAAGGTATTTTCAGCCTTTCACTTTTTAAAGAAAATTATGGATGATTCCTCTTATTGAAAGGAAGTAGAAGAAACTTCACAAATTTATTTTCTGTTAAATAGACTCCACTAAGATCTGAATAGGAAATAAAAAGAAGTAAAAAGAATTCTTATGTACACAGACAGCTTTAGCATTGAAATAGTATTTAATTTCTTTTATTCTGCTTATTCCATGGAAATTTATGAAATTGCCAAAAATTATGCAAGCTGCATGACTACATTTGCAAATGTTAAATCTTCAGTTTGTAACCAACATAAATTTTTTTGAGATACGAATAACATATCTTTAAACTATTTCTAAAAGTGTTTACTTATGCATAAACATGTTAAGTTGTAGAAATCAAGAATATTTTGTATGGTTCTTCAACAGTATAGTAACCAACATTAGAACTTTTTCCCACCATAATTGCAAAAATGTTTTATTTTATTTGGAGTTATCTCTTGAAGGATTATTTTAAAGGTTATTTTAAAAATCTATAGGGCTGGCCATTTAGCTCATTTGGTTAGAGTGCAGTGTTATAACACCAATGTCAAGGGTTTAGATCCCTGTACCAGCCAGGTGCCAAAAATAAAAGTCCAAAGCTAGATAAGTGACATTAATTTATTAGTTGGTATTCTTGCATGTGTGTGTGTTTTTTGAACTTACTGGTAAAGTTGAAGGAAAATACTTTTTAAATGTCTTTTTTTATTTTTTTAAAGATGACCAGTAAGGGGATTTTAACCCTTGACTTGGTGGTGTCAGCACCACGCTCTCCCAAGTGAGCTAACTGGCCATCCCTATATAGGGATCCGAACCTGTGGCCTTGGTGTTATCAGCACTACACTCTCAAGTGAGTCACGGGCCAGCCCACTTCTAGAAAATCATTAAACCTGAGGATGGTCTTGGGATTCTCAAATGGTACAGACCCATCCTCTACCTGGGCCTCTATTTCCACCTCAAATTGAGGAAGATGGAAAAAATTTCCCTGTTCCTTCTCAGGATACATGCATTTAAATGGCATGTGTGCATGTGTATGTGTGTCTAAGCTGAAAGAAAAAATCCCTAATGGTGGAACTTCAAGCACTGGTGTGTAGGATGTATGGGGACACTTCAGCAGCAGTAGAACAGTCCCTTCCCCTGCCCCCAGCTCTAAGGACATGCCCAGTGAGTGGGCATTGCCAGCTGTGGTGGAGCCACCAGAGCTCCTTTCTTCCATATTCAGGATTCTTGCTTTTCATTAGTTTTTCTTCCAGCAATGTTTATTAAGTAGCTCCTACAGGCCTGGCATGGTTCAGGTGCCGGGAACACAAATGTAAACAGGCAAAACTGCTGCCCTGCCCATAGAAGCAACATTCTCCTGCTAGGAGAAGGTCCTGATGCCCATCAGCCCTGAAAGCCACTGATGAGTCCTGCAAGAATGACCCTTTTAGTAACACATTTGGTTTTTTTTTAAAACCATTAAAATCTGTGTGTGTGCGTGTGTATGTATGTGAGCAGTTGGTCTTACCAGAATCATTGTTGAACTACCTGAAACGTGCCTTTAGAATACTAAGTATAATACTTTTATCTCTTCCTTTTTGATATTTTCTGACTTTTCCCCCCTAAACTCAATGAATTTTTGCCCAAAATGATTATAGATGTCCTGTCTTGAACTGTTTTAAAGAAAACTATTTGTTCCTTCCTTGCAATAACTCAGATCCCAGTTGATGGCACAAATTAGCATTTTGTTGTTGTTGCTGTATTATGACTAGTATTCTAAAGGCACAAGCAGGAGTAGCTGCTTTTTAGCAGTAGAATTGTTTGGGTATTTTGCTGCTTTTTACTATAATGCGCACCTTCAGAAAACTTCCCAAGTGAATTCAATGAATTTTGGGATCATTCTAGCAACAAAATTGTGAAACATGAAAATTCTGTAGACTTTGATATATAAAACCTAACTCTACTCCCTTTTTTTAACCAAAAAGAAAATAGTACATTTGTGCAAACTGAGCTGTTGGGTTGTTCATCGTTGTTATGTTTCTGGCCTAGGCATAGCTCTGGGATGATTTTATTTTTTAGGAGGTAATTTTTCTTTCCTTAATAGAAGCATCCTTTTCTAAGAAAGGTGAGTTGGTCTACAGATTAAGCAGAAGATCAAATTATAGGGACAGAGATATATTCCAACTAATGTTAATCTGTTAAAAAGAATGAGTTGGATATTTTTAAAGCAGTTAACCAGTTGTTTCTTATATAATCTTTTGGGAGTTTTTGGTTGTTGATATAACCTTTTTTAAGTTAATCTGGAAAATTCCAAAAATTTAATCACTTAAGACCTCAGAACCAAAATAAAATCCTCTTAGGGAGTTACTCTTGCCCTA